TCTGGGCTGGGAGATGGCTGAAGAAGAGTGATGGGGACTGGTCCCTAGGCTGTGTCTTACAGAGTCACTGCAGATGCCCCATATCTCTCTGATGCTCTACGAAGGCAGACAGAGTGCTTTCACAGCTCTGGGCAACGTGAAGTGGAGGGTCCTACAGTGGAGATAGGATCTCAGTGGGAGAGGAGGTCTGAGCAGAAGGGTCTAGGCTTGGTCACCTGCCCAGGCAAGACTGTCACAGGTTGAGTTGTGGCAGCAAGACCCCAATATTTCTTGGGCACCTGTCTGTGCCCAGTTCTCTGTTTGACACTTTAGAGAAATAGAGACACTTAGAGAAATAGAAAATATTGGACAAATAAATGGACAGATTGTTGTTGTTGTTTAGTCACTAAGTTGTGTCCAACTCTTCTGGGACCTTATGGACTATAGCCCACCAGGCTCCTCTGTCCATGGGATTTTCCCGGCAAGAATACTGGAGTGGGTTGCCATTTCCTTCTCCAGGGGATCTTCCCGACACAGGAATTGAACCCACATCTCCTGCATTAGTAAGCAGATTCTTTAGCACTGAGCCACTTGGGAAGCCCAAATGGACAGATCGATGGGTCTTATTTTCAAAGTTGATATCATGGAGTCCAGAGACACACACATACCATGGCCCACACACACTGACACACATTCCTCATGCCCATACCACCTACACCCATACACACCTGTGCACATACCCCCGGCATGCATGCACTCGTGTGTACAGGTACCCATGTTTCCAAGCACGTGAACACTGTTACACACACACTCCCCTGCTCGTGTGCACGCCATGCCCCTATGCACACATTTATTTTGGAGCAAGATTCCCGAGTCTTGCAAGAAGTAGTTTTGGCCACCGCCTCTCTCCCCGCTGGCCTCTCATCCCCGCTCTGGGAGGGGTTGTCTGGATGCTCTGTGTGGAGTCCTGCTCTCCTCCGGCCCAGCCTCACCTTACTCCAGCCTGGCGGCCCCAGGGCAGTGACTTCATCCTCCAGAGCCTCTTTGCCTGAGTCTGCAAACTGGGGCTGTTGGTTCCTGCCCTGCTTGCCTCACAGGGTGGCACCGAGCATTCCCATGAGAGAAAGGAAAAGAGTGTTTTGTAAAATGTAAATTGTTTTCCAAACAGTCAATTGCTGCAGTTGTCCCAGCTCCTGAACTCAAGAATCCCTCCACCCGCTGTAAACCCTGTGCTCGGGTGGGCAGAGACGCTGTGTGGAGGTAGTGGAGCAGCCTGGCCAATTCTGAGGCTCCATTACACCTGGAGAGCTGGAGGGGCACGGGCGGCTGTGTCTCTGGGACGCAGGCTCCTCTGCCCTCAAGCTGTGAGGGGGTCTGCAGTCTGGTGGGGTTGGTCAGCATCTCGGCCATCTGGCTGCAGGCTCTGGGGGTTGATGAGAAATGGCAAAGGAGAGTGAGGGGAGGAGGGCGAAGTGGAAACCACTTCAGCAGAGTAGTTACTTCAGTAACTAGAGCATTGTCATTTGATCAAGGAAGTGTCCTCTCAGATTCAGTACTTATCTGATGTCAGTGGGGGGCCACACCTCCAGCACGGTGGGGAGCCGTCCCAGAGGAGGAAGCCAGGGTTCCATCCCACAGGTGTGCAGGGGAGCCTGTTGGGCAGTAGCTGGAGCTGTGGAGCGACTCAGGAGACATCACAGACCCTCCCAGCTCTGGTGTACCTCTGGGGGGCTCGGGGGCATCGCATGGGAGTGAGGCCAAGATGTGGGTCTGTTGGGCACCCCATCTTCTTTTCTTCTCAGCTGTGACTGGGAACCAGGATACTGAGTGGCCTTCAGCAGTTTCAGGCGTTTGGATATGGGGGTCAATGGAGACCCAGAGGCTGCTCTGTGAGCACAGTAATGTTGGAAAGGGGCTGTAGTAGGTACTTTGAGGAGCCCCTGACCAGAGGTCCCCTTTGTGGTTCCCATCCTTCCAGTGTAGCCCAAGCCCTGCATCTTAACATCAGGGAAACAGAGGCACAGAGAGGCAAAAGACCAGCCCAAGGTCACTCTGAGAGTAGGAGTAGAACCCAGGCCTCCTGTCTTAGCCCTGTGCTCTTTTCCATGCCTGGGAGGATGGGGCTCTTGCTTGAGGACCCATTTTATGAAGGATAGTGACCCCTCAGGTACTTGCATGAATGAAGCTTACTTGTAGCGATGGGCTTGTGGGCTGGAGGAGTCAGGATGGGCTTCCTAGAAGAGGAGGTGAAGTCTGGTTGGCGAGAGAGGGTCGGTGAGCACAGTGGGGAGGAAGCTGGGCCAGGCTGTCATGTCTCTCCTTTGTTGAGCCTTCCTGGCCCCTCAGTTTCTTCTTCTTCTCTCCCCACGATGGGTTGTGAGGGTTTCTTCCCTTTACCCCCACTTTATAGATTTGTTCATTAAATCCCCGAGTATTACCCGAGCCAGTGCTCTGTGTGAGCACCGGAACCCAGACTGGCCTTGCCCGTGGGGGCCCACAGTCTGATGCTGGAGACAGCCCGGTGCCGGCCTGACTGGGGAAACGGCTGCATGATCTGGGGTCAGTTACTCACCTCCCTCTACCTCCATGGTGGTAATAAAGTCCCTTCCTCCTAATATTTGTAAAAGGCTCAGAACAGAGCCAGGCATATTGAAAGTGTATCGTCTATATGTGTATGTGTGTGTTTATAGAGTTATCAAAGGAACAAGCTAATTGTAGGTCATGAGTAAATGATGCACAGGAGGGAGGAGAAAAGGGCGATGATGCGGGAGCTTTCTGGGGAGCAGGCAATGTTTTCTTAACATTAAAAAAAAAAATTGTTCTTATTTATTTATTTGGTTGCACTGGGTCTTAGTTGTGGCATGTGGGATCTAGTCCCCTGACCAGGGATCAAACCCATCATCCCATCCTTTGTTTGTTCCAGAGCTCAGCGTTTTCTGCCAGGCCCCAGCTGGGGACTCCCAGGTTAACCCGACCTGCCTCTCCCTTCATGCTGCCTCCAGCCTGCTGGAGGTGCAGAGGCAAAAACCACTGAGGGAGGTGCTGGGAGGACTTCTCAGAGCAGGAGACATCTGAACCGAGCTCAGAACGTTCCTCAAAAAGGGAGAGCTGGCCCAGTGGAGAAGGAGATGGAGCAAGAGAGCACGTGGTGTGGGCGGAGCGTGAGGCTTGTTTGAGATCAGTACGTCCGGCATTCCAACCTGAACCAGGTGTTCTGGGGCCAGGGCAGCAGAAAGGGAGCTGGGAAAGGAAGGCGAGCTATGGATGCCAGGGAAGGAGGTGGCCTTTATCTGGAGCACGAGGGCTGGGGATTTAAGGAGTGAGGATGGGGACAGGTGGAGAAGAGCCAGAGAGGAGGAGGCAGGACTGAGGACACCACAGAAAACCTGTCAGCTGTGGGCTGGGCCTTTGAGGAGAGAAGAGAGAGGACCCTGGTACAGGGGTCGGGGTACCAGAAGCAGGACAGAGTGAGGGTCCAGGAACCCTCCTGGAGGCCCTGCCAGGACATGGTCTGGTTGGCTAGGGAAGAGGTGGCAGGGGGCAGGGAGAAGTGTTGGGAGGCCAAGCAGAGACGAGGTGCAGAGAGGACAGAGAAGGGAGGGAAAATGGTGCATCTTTGATCCTGTGGTTGAAGCCTGAGGCGCCTCAGGACACAGTGGGGGCAGGGGGAGCTGATGTGACCAAGCCTCTTTCCCCAGTGCTGTTAAGTAAGAAGCTAGTGCATGGGAGCTGCGTGGGCAGGGAACAGAGGCGGCAAAGGCAGCACGAGCAAGGGATCCATGGTTTCCAGGCTGGGAGCGTCTGCCTACAGCCGCCTCTGTGTGCCCCATTCTGGACTGTTAGCGGAGCGGGAGCCCCCGAGCTGGTGGAGGGGCCTGCCCACCTCCCTGCAGTCCACACTCGGGTCAAAGGGAACAGCTCCTCAGACCAGTGGCAGCAGCAGATGTGGAGGTCCACTGCCTTCCTCTCCACCTCAGTTGATCTTTGCCTAGGGAGCTTTGTCCCGGAGGCTGCCCCGCACGTGCCTTAGAGGAGGGGAGACCATCCTGCCCAGGAAGGAAAGCAGGACCCATGGTGGCCCAGGGTCCTGTGGGTACTGAGGCAGATGGAGCTGGTCTCAGCCTGTCTTGGTTTCCAACCTCACTCTTTAGCCCTGTTCAACCAGGAAGCAGATGTGAGCAGCCTTACCGGGGGATGCCTCGTCCCTGTTCTCCCCATTCTGGGCCACATCCCCCAGAAGGCCGACTTCTCCACCCCCTCCACCTCTGAGCATGACCAATTCAAGGTCTTGCTCATTTCCGGTGATTGGCCTTAAGGTTGGCAGCCACAGTCTGGGGCTGAGTTAACCCGAGCAAAGATCCTGACACCCACCCACCTGCTGCCTGCTTCACTATGATGCATCCTGTGGGGATGACTGTTATTACTCCATTTTACGGAGTTGTGGGCTGTGGCTTGGAGCTGTGAATGTTTGCTTGAGGTCACACTGAGTCACGGAGGAATTTAGCCCCAAGCTTGGAAACCTCACCCTACCAAGGAGTCACCCCCATCAAACAGGGTCCTCCTCGCCAGCCTCTACCTCTGGCCCACAACCCTCATCCCACTGGAAACATGAGGCTCTGGGGATGTGTGGCTCCTGGCACAGGGTCTCACAACTGATGTGTGATTTGACTACAAAATCCTCTCAGTTTCCGCCTCAGTTGCTGCCCCCTGGGAAAGGAGGCGGGGGCTTATCTGGCTTCTGAGCCTTTCCAAGCTTTCAGCTACCTCCCAGGCCTTCCTGAGCTACCAGCTAAGTTTGCTTGAGGCTGACCCTCAGCCATGCAGAGGCTCATTGAACCGCACATCCAACCTGGATTGGAATCCTCCTTTTGCCCTTCATCAGCTGGGTGACCTTAGGCAGGTCACAGGCCTCTCTAAGCCTACGTGTCCTTGTCTGCCCAGTGAGGGCAGTGGCACTGTCTGGGTGGCTCCTGGGGAAGTGGGTTCTGGGCCTGACACTGTCTGTGCCTCCCTGCCCTCAGCTCCTGTACGACAGCCCCAAGGCCCGGCAGGAGGTGGACCACCACTGGCAGGCCTCAGGTGGCCCCCACATCGTGCGCATCCTGGATGTTTATGAGAATATGCATCACAGCAAACGCTGTCTCCTCATTGTCATGGAATGGTATGCCGGCCCACCCTCCCTCAGCATCTCATTCGTACCCCTATGGCCCCCACCAACTCCCACCATTCTTTAGGGACCTCTCTGTTCTTTAGATAGCAGCCCCGGGAGGGCCCCCCAGCCCTTGAAGGGTGATGGACCTGGGCAGCTGGCCGCAAGAGCACTCCTGCACAGGTGGAATCCTCAGGGGCTGTAATATGGCTTCCTTGGGTGTGATTCCCACTCAGTGAGGAGGGACTGGGAGAGCTGCCAGAGAAGGCTGCCAAGCCCTGAATATGGCTGGGATGGGGGGAGACTGGGGGAAGAGTGGGATATATGCTGTCCCCTCGGCTTTCTCCTCACCTGGATTTGCGCTCCCATGGCTCCCCCCCGCCCCCGCCCCCAATGTTGGGTGATCCTGGCCAGGGTCCAGGAGCCAGTGACCTCCTCCATCCTGGGCTTCTCCCATGAGCCCTGTGGCTCAGTGCTAACCTTCCTCAGAACCTGGGCCCTGGATCTTGGTCTCCAGCTCCTGCCTGTCTGCCTTTCAAGTTCCCCCTCACCCCATAGGGTAGCAGCTCTTGAGTCACATTTGGGGTTCAGATCCTGACTCTGTCACTCACTAGCTGTGTGACCTTGGGCAGGCCTCTCACCTCTCTGGATCGCTGTAACTTCCATATAAAGTGTGGAGGGAGATCTTGGTGTGGCATTCACCCTGTTCATTCTAGGTGCTCTGTGTGTACTGCTGAATCAGTCTTCCCAACTCTGTGAGGTTGGTGCACTAATCCCTGTTTTACAGAAGAGGAAGCTGAGCCACAGAGAGGTGAAGGGACCCACCCAGGATCACACAGCAGTACACACAAAGGGTTTGCCCAGGGCACAGCACACAGTAGGTGCTCAGAAAATGGTGGTCATGAGGATGATAACTGACATCTCATTCCTCACTTGGGTAAACTTGGATAAAGGTGGGGCTGCCAGATCAAGACAGTGTTCCTGGGAACATAGATGCTCCCTGGGGAAGATCCTCCCCTAGTTCTAAGAGTTGAGTTCAACCCACCCAAGCCAACAGCCCACCGCACACCAGGCTCTTCAAGACACAGCAAGGCTGACAGTGACTGTTCCCCAGGGGAAGAGAAATAGGTCTGGGGGCCTGGGCCCACGACTCAGAGCAGGGGCAGGTCGATGCCTGATTCTCCCCCTCTACCCCTGCTTTCTCCGATAGCATGGAAGGTGGTGAGTTATTCAGCAGGATTCAGGAGCGTGGTGACCAGGCTTTCACTGAAAGAGGTACGGATGTGCCGCTGCACGGGGAGTTTGGGCTGAGATGGGGCACACAGAGTTTCTTTGTGACGCTGGGCAAGACCCTGTCCCTCTCTGTGCCTCAATTTCCCCAGCTGAACAAAAGCGGGGGTGGGGAGAGTGTTCATCCCCCAAGGGGTTGTGTGAGTCTGTGGCAGCTTTTCAGAGATGGACTCCCATTGGGTCTGGGATGAAGGCCTCAATGCTTCTTGGTGCCAGCCAGCAGCTGAGCTGGGGGCATCTCCAGAAGAAACTAGGGGGACCAGAGTCAGGCTATGAGGTGGGGTCCTTGGTGGCAGGAGTGCACCATCTTGTGCTTGCCCAAGAGGGGTGATGGGGAGGGGCCCCCAGGCTGCCTGACCCTCGACTTCCATCCATGCCTCCCTCCTCTGTCTGTGTCTGCAGAAGCCGCAGAGATCATGCGGGATATTGGCACTGCCATCCAGTTTCTGCACAGCCGGAACATCGCCCACCGAGATGTCAAGGTGAGGCTCCAGGACCCGTGTTGGGGGACCAGGACAAAGAGTGCCATTCACAGACCCCAGTGGTCCCAGCATCCACCGGATGGAGGCCATATTCCTTGATTGGCATTCCAGGCCTCTCCCCGCGGCCCATACTGCACGGCTCAGCCTCTCCTCCCATGGTCCCAGCGTGTTCATTGTGCTCTAGCCAGATAGGTCTTGTTTCCTTCAAGCATATATAATCCCAGTAGCCATAAGAATAAACTAGTGCCTACCTTGAGTCACTGGGTCCTGAGAAGCATCTTGTTTAATCCTCACCCAGCCCTGTGAGAGGGTGCCATTACCCATTTGACAGATGAGGAAACCAAGGCTCAGAGAGCGATTGTCTTGCTCAAGGCTCTGCAGATGCCTCACTGGGGATTCATGCATTCATTTGTTCACTCAGCAAGAATTTTGTGAAGACAGTGTGCCAGGCTTCAGGGGCAGGGCTGCCCAACACTGTTGGAGCTTATGTGAAGTAACAGCCATAGTTCCTGTAGGCAGAGCCCTCTGATGGCAGCATTTTAGGGGAAGGGAGGCCCTTTGCTGGGCACTGGAAAAAGGAGTGGAGGTGATCCCAGTGGCTGGACCTGCTATCCTTCCGGTGGATGGGCTTGAGAGTGTTCTCTCCAAATTTCCTATCCAGGGAGGACTGGATCTTACAGGTGATTAGGATCAGACGAAAGAAATGCAAACTGAGGCACCTTCACATGCACACATGCACACACATGCATGTGCCAGCCACTGTCAGAGCAGAATTACAACTCCTGGGCCCTCGGCCCCCAAACTAGACCCTGACTGCCCTGCCCCCTCCAGACTTATTTCCTCCTAAAACTGGGCAGAGGAGACCCAAAGGTCCAGCTGCTGCATCAGGTTCTTCCCCTGGCTGAATATTGCCAACTCGTGCGGTTACCCTTTGATTTTAGATACACATGAAGCCACAACAGTCTCACATTCTGAACCGTGGCTTTATTTTGGCCCTGGCCTCCTTTTTTTCCCTTAAGGGGAGAAAAGCCTTCTGTGGAGAAGATTCCTATACAAAAACTGCTTCCCTGTTTTCCACCCCAGTCCAAGTTTGGATCATCTCAAATAGAACCTGAGAAATAGTTTTCACTGGCTCCAAACTGAAATTCCATGTACTACCCCATCCCTCTGCCCCAGCTCTGCTGCTTCTCTCCGTGGGTCTAGGTCCTACCCATTCATTAGAAAGCAGCTCGAGGGCTGCCTCCTCCATGCAGACCTCCCCACTGCCTTCATCCCTCAGACCTTCTGTTCTCTACAACCAGGAAGACTAGCCTCTGTGCAGCTCCCGGGGCCTGAGTTCCCCGAGCAACTTCAGGTAGGGGCCTGTTGTGCAGGTTCATTCTGGGCTGGGTACAGGATGTGTTCTTGGCAGCACTGGCTCACGAGCAGCCCCTCGTTCCCCTGGAACCCTCATCTTGGCATCTCATGGCAGCATCACCAAACTCAAGCTCAGAAGTCCCTGCCCCTGGGCTCTCTGTGGCACTCAGTTATCCCCAGGCTTGGTGGAACCACTGCCTCAGTTTCCCCTCTGTAAAACAAGGTGTCACCTCTCAGCCACATTTGTCTCCACCTTTGGCCCACGTCATTGGTGGCCGAGACCCAGGTCTTTTTTGGTGAGATGGACCTGGCTTCTCCTGCCTCAGTCTGGATGAGGGAGGGAGGAAGGAAATCTGACTGCAGATCACTGTGGAAATCTGCCCCCACCTGGTGCCTGACTCCAGACAAATGTTTTCTCTCCCTGGACCAGCCTGAAAACCTGCTCTACACGTCCAAGGACAAAGATGCAGTACTGAAGCTCACGGACTTTGGTTTTGCCAAAGAGACCACCCAGAATGCCCTGCAAACTCCATGTTACACTCCCTACTATGTGGGTGAGTTGCTGGGATGTGGCTGGTACCTCTTTACTGCACCCTGCCCCCCCACCCCCGCCCCGCTGTGGTCTGGGGCAGCCTGTGGGACGCAGAAACCAAAGGGTTAAAGTGCTGTGAGGAGGGAGGGGAGGGTTCTTGTCTGTGTGGAGGCGGCAGCTGGGGGGCCGGAGGCTGCAAAAATATTCTCCCAAACTTCAGTTTCTGCTTTTGAAAATAGATCCAGGAAAATTCTGGCTCTGGCCTGTGAGCTGAATGACATCACAGTGGCTCTAAATATATATGTGATAAAAGGCTGCCGTCGGCTTGGGATGGAGCCCAAGCGCGGTTGTTTTTCTCCGGTTTTTATCTTCCTGGGAGTCATATTCAGAAAGTGGGCAGGCGCCTCCTCCTACATGAGAGGGAAGCAGGGGACCAGCCACCTGCGTTTTGGGAAAGCGTCCCTTAGGTAAGGGCCAGGATGGGCCCCAGGGCTTCGCACACACTCATGCTTCCTGGAAAAGCTCCCTGCTCCCCTGTGAGCAGGTAGCCCCTAGACCTGGAAAAGCCACCCCCACAACCCCCAGAAAGAGGGGAGAGTGGGGTGATGACTCGTTTACAGACGACTCTTCTCCCTCAGGATAAGCCTTCCGAGAGCTGTTGAAGGGGTGGGAAGCCCCCTGAGACAGCTGGAATGACACTCTGTTTACCAGGACGTGTTTTGCAGTATTTTGACTTAGTAATCTCCCGGCCTACCGATCTCATTACACAGATGGGAAGACCAAGGCCCCATGGGACGGTTGCCAGGTGAACAGTGGAACCCAGAGCCCTGGCCATGGCCCCTCCTTGCCCATGACCTAGGCTGTCTGTTCAGGAGGCAGGGGACGCTGGGCAGCTGCTGGGCTGGGGCCCTCTCCCCTATGGCAGGACCCCACCCAACCCCTGACTGCCCTTCTCTCCTTCCCCTACCACACCACCGCTGAGATTGGCCCAAGGTAACTAGGAGGTTATCATCTCTTACAGCCCAGCCTGAAAGTGGGTTTATTTTATCTGGGAGCTGTTGTTCCTCCCCCGACTTCACACACATGCTGCCTTCCCAGAAGGTGCCAGACACCAATCTGCTCTGCCCCATCCCCGGCTTGGGCACCTGCTCCCACCTTGCCCAGCTGTAGGCGCCTGCTGGTGCCCCAAGACCCTTGGACTGAGAGTCCTCCTGTGCCCTCTGCCCTGGCAGCTCCTGAGGTCCTGGGTCCAGAGAAGTATGACAAGTCATGTGACATGTGGTCCCTGGGCGTCATCATGTACATCCTGTGAGTACCATCCCTTTCCTGCACCCCCAGGTACCCTTGGAACCACTTCTGCCCCCACCATCTGGGGTGAGGGGCTCAAGTGGGCCACTCTTCCAGCAGTCTGCTCTTCCCTTCTGGTCAGGGGACACCTCTCCTTCAGGCTCCCTGAAGGCCTCCCCATGCCAAGGGCAGCTGGTGTTCCTGGAGATGAACCCTGAGTTGGAGGGCTGATACTATTGCACTGGCGTCTGGCTGCCTGTCTCCTGGTCAGGGTCTTGGGGAGGAGAATGGGTCCGCCCCGGCGCTGCCCCCACCCCCATGCCGAATGACCTCCGCCCTCCCCCAGCCTGTGCGGCTTCCCGCCCTTCTACTCCAACACGGGCCAGGCCATCTCGCCGGGGATGAAGAGGAGGATCCGCCTGGGCCAGTATGGCTTCCCCAGCCCTGAGTGGTCCGAGGTCTCCGAGGATGGTGAGTGACTCTCTGCCTAGCTCGCTCCACCGGACCCCAGCAGCCTTCCTTCCGGGAGAGACCACTTAGGTGTCAAACCAACCTGTGTTTAGATCCTGGCTTCCTCCACATCCCAGCTGTGTGATCCTAGGCAAGTCATCTCACCGTTTGAATCCTTCTCTATGTCTGCCAAATGGGCTTGAAACCTGCCTCCTCAAAACTTCCCCTAATTCTTGTCCTTCATTCATATTTTCCCTTTGGGGACCACGAACAAATCTGCCCTGTATCAGTTATCTATTGCTGCCTAACAAATTACCCCAAACACTTAGTGCCTTACAACAAGAAACTGTTATCAGCACACTGTTTCTGTGGGTTAGGAATTTGGGAGCACGTTGCAGAGCTGGTGGTCTCTGGGAGCGGGAACTGGCTCTGAGCAGCTCCACAGCCTCACCACTGCCCTCTCTTCGCTAGCCAAGCAGCTGATCCGCCTCCTGCTGAAGACGGACCCCACTGAGAGGCTGACCATCACACAGTTCATGAACCATCCCTGGATCAATGTGAGTGCCTCCTCCTCCTGTGGCGGGCCGGGTGATGAGCTTGAGCAGGGCTGCCAAGATGGTTGACGGCTCCAGAGGCCCTGGGGTGGGCCACAATATGCGGTGGTACCCTGCCTTTCCCTGCCTTTGCTCCTGGTCTCATCAGGCTCCTTCACCGCCCTGAGCCGCGGATTCCCCATTGGAGCCCGGAAGAAAAGGGCTGGCGGCGGGGTGCGGGCAGCCGGTGCTGTCCCAGGTGCTTGCAGGCTCTGATCCACGGGCTTGGGTCTCCTTCCAGCAATCGATGGTGGTGCCTCAGACTCCACTCCACACAGCCCGAGTGCTGCAGGAGGACAGAGACCACTGGGATGAAGTCAAGGTGGGTGGACCATCTTCCCACAGGTCTCAGGGTTTTGGAAAAAGGGACTGCAGGGTGGTGACCTCCCAGAACCTGGGTCTTTGGTCCCCTCTCGCCTCGTGTCAGTGACCACATAGTGGTCTTTGGGCCACACTACCCCATTCAGGGCAGGGCTCCTGACTTGCTCCCTCAGTGAAGTGGGGCTTTGGCCATAATTGCTCTTATGATCTGCAGCATCTGGGAGGGCGGTCAGCTTGCTTTTAGACTCAGGAGAGGCCAGATTTGAGCCTGTGGGGCAGTAGCTCAGAGCCTGGGGCAACCTGGACACAACCTTCAGGTGCAGGTAACCTGGGTGCACTGCACGATGGTGTCCCCTGAAGGCCCTGTGGTTCTGAGCAGATGACTTTGGTCCACATCCCTGTCCTACTTACCCTTGGTGTGGTCCCAGGGAGTCACCACACTTCCTGTGCCTTGTCTGAGGTAAGCTCAGTCTTTACCACAGAGGACTGGAGTGAGGACTGTGTGAGGCAAAGCAGTGGGCCCAGAGCTGGGTACATGGGGGCACTTGGGCAGCAAAGGTGGTCACTGGCATCACTGACATTATTACGGGGCCACTCAGGCAGGAGGTGATGTCTCTTGAGGTCAGTAGACCTGCTCTCCCCCCACACCCATCCCCAGGAGGAAATGACCAGTGCCTTGGCAACCATGCGGGTGGACTATGACCAGGTGAAGATCAAGGACCTGAAGACTTCTAACAACCGGCTCCTCAACAAGCGGAGGAAGAAGCAGGCAGGCAGCTCCTCGGGCTCGCAGGGCTGCAACAACCAGTAGCTCCTCCGACCTTGGGGGAGCCAGAGGACACACTGGAGTGGGCTGAAGCCCTGACCTGGAGGGCTCAGGGTCCTGTTTTTTTAACAAAAGAGTTGTTTGTGTTGTGTTGTGATTTGTCACTTAGAACTTCAGGATGGGGGAACATGACCCCAAGTCCTTCAGAATCGCATCCCAGGGTCAGGCCCTAGAGAGGGGCCAAAACCTGGGCCCTGGGGAGCCACGTGCTGCAGCTCCAGTGCCTTTGATCACTGTGGCCTGAATGCCCTGTGGCTGCATCCCGCCCAGGGCCTGGCCTTAGAGTTCTAGGCCCCTGGGCATTGTGGTTGGGCTTCCCTCCTGTGAAAACAGCTCCCCGGAGGGTGGGCAGATGGGCCTGGCCTTGGGAAAGGCATCCGGCCACTGGTTGTCATGGCGACCAGGGACAGAGTTGCCAGTCTTGAATGCTGAGTGAGTGAGCAAGGGAGGGAGGGGGGCAGTTGAGGGTCTGCCTGCCTTCTTGGGGAGGCTGCCACTCACCCCTCTCAGACTCCCCCCTACCCCTCCGTTTTTGGTCTCCCTGAAGTGTCAGGGTCAGTCTGCCTGGCTCCCTGGGTGGTCCAGCGCTGTGTTGCTGCAACCCCATCCCACAGGGCCCTTGGAAGTCTCCTTCCACAGAGTGCCTGAGCCCAGCCATCCTGTTACGACACCCCCCCTCACCCCCACCCGGAGTGACCTCTTACCTCAGTGAGGGGTTTGAGGGGGCAGATATTTTTTAACCCTTTTTTACTTTGGAAAATGTCACTGTGACAAAAGCCAGTACAGTTACCCTGCCCCCACCTGCTCATCAGATCCCAGGCAGGAAAGCCTGTCCTTAAGAGTTCACCCCCTACTCTCCTGGTTGATGGCAGGGCTCGTCTCCTGATGTACTTTTGTGAGAGTGGATGGCTGGAGGCAGGGCTAAGGGGCCCCCCCTTAATCCAGGGCCTCTTTCTGTACTTTGGGTCAGACTCGAGGCAGTGGAGGGCTGCTGCTTAGAGGGTCTGGTCCTTTCTTTTTTGCCCGAGTCGGAGCAGACAGGGCCCCTCCCTCGCTGCTCCAGGCTCACCCAGCCCCACACTGCCCAGGGATGCTGAATGCCTGATATGGGCCTGGCCAGTGCCTGGCCCCCAGCCTGCTTCCTGGTTCCTCACCCTTCTCTCACTGGCTGGGAAACCCTAGACCATGTCAGGGAGGATAGCACTGCTGGGTTTTATATCCAGGTATTAATAAACAGCATTTTGGCATTTTTCCCTTGTTCCTGGGGTTCTCATCTACATGAGTGAACAAAAGTAGCCCAAGGGCATGTGCTCACATCCACTAGTGATTTTACTCCTGCCGGACAAAGTGCTTCAAGCCTGGTAGACATGCCAGGCTGGCTCCAGGGCCACCCTGGCCTCACCAGGCTTGGTGAGGTCAAGGGAGCAAAGAGATGGCAGCTGCCCCATGTCCCCAGTGCACTGTGTGTGTGACACCCACCCCTGGCCCGGTGTGCGCTGGCGTCTGCCCACAGTGGCCACCCCCAGCTGTGTGCCAGCCTGCTGAAGGGCGGGCAGAGCGCCTGCTGCAGCGCTGAGCTATTTTCAGAAGCTGCCAGATTTCATTTGGCAGCGAGAGTGTCGGGGAGGGGAGGGGGCGGGACGCTGGAGACTGTCTTTTGACTACTCCAGCAACAGAGCACCCTCCGCCCCCCGAGAGCCCTCGCGGGTCGCCGAGAGGAGGGCCCGGACTGTGGCAGATGCCCCCAGCTTCTGTCCTCCCAGGTCCCCAAGAGCTCCTCTGGCACCTGCAGCACACCGTCTCCACCTCCCTTTCCCTCTGGGTGTAGGGGAGGACGATGAGATGTTAGAAGGCGGGACAGGCAAGTCGCCTGAGCTGAGTGCCACTTCCTGGCCTGGTGACCTTGGATAAGCCTCCCAGCTTTCCCGCCTAGATTTCCTCGGCTGTGTAGTGTGGTTGTTGGTGCCCACCGAGGGGAGTCATACAGGGTATCCTGGCACATGACATATGAAGCACTCATTGGGGTGCCTGGTACGTGGCTGGCCCCCACTTGCCACCCTAGCATCCTTAGCTATAAGGAAGGAGAGAAGAACCTGAAGTGGCTCAAGGGAAAAGCAGTCCAGCCCCAAATCTACCTCTGAGACTTTCCGCCTAGAAATTCCACCTTTCACCATCCATGGGGGTCTTACTCCCAAGGGCCTGCTCTTGTATGGGCAGCATTGTATGGGCTTCCTGGACCTTGGCCCCAACCCTGGGCTTCAAGGAGGGTGACCCCTCCTTTTGAAGGGCCCCTAGACTCCCCAAATGAATTCTGGGGGCCTCGCAGAGCCTGTGGTTCCGACCAACCCTTGTCATGTACTCAGCTCAGTAAAATCCTGGTCAGATGCAAAGGCAGGTTAAGTCTGCCTAGTCACAAAGCTGCAGCAGTGCAAACCGCCTCTGTCCCTTGACTGCTCGGCGCACGCTGCTGGCGACCCTGTGCTGCGTGCAGGAAAGGCGGCAGGGGAAGCTGAGGATAGAGTCGCGCCTCGGGGAGTTTAAACACGTGAGGGAGAAGGACAAAATACCTCACAAGCACATGTTGAATCATGGGCTTGATATGGTCCACAAAAGAAAGGCAAGGCTTGAGAGGAGGTGTCATTGTGCAGTTTAAATCAAAGAGGCAATTTATGTCCCAGGGTCTGGGGAGGGTGCCTGATAGGTTGCAAGGTTGAAGGCAGAAATTCAGGGAGAACCAGGGCTTTAGGGACAGAGAGACTCTGTGTGGCCCTCAACTCTGCTTGTCTGTGCTTCTCCCGGAGTCTCAGTGTGGCTGTCTGTGAAATGGGAGCAAATCCTTACAATTAGCTTTACCAGGTGAACTAAGGAGCCCAGGGGCCTCATGTTCACATCAGCCTATTCAGACACATGCATTCACATGGACTTCCTGTGGCTTCCCTGGGAGCTTTCAGTAAAGAATCGGTAAGAAGTATATTCACGTGTGTGTGCATGTGTGTTTGTGTGTGAGAGACATTTTTTCCCAGTGATGCTCCCCCTGACCCAGTCGACAGCAGCGTTCTCTGTCTTGCAGACCTGGTGCTGGCCGGTTTCCAGCGTCCTGGCTCATTGCTATTCCGCACCAGCCCCTCTCCGCCCTCGATTCAGCCCCTCCATTGCAGTGTCAGAACTGAGCCTCAAAAACGCAGCTTGCTGCAACCTCTGCAGGGGTCTTGATGCTTCCAGGTCTGCCAGAAGCTCTCTCTCTCTGGCAGACATGGGAGAGGCACAAGTCACTGTCTCCCTCCAGACCTGGCTGTGTTGGTTTGAGTCTTTGCACCCCCTGGATCCTAGCAGATGCCCAGAAACCCAGCAGGATAAAATCCTCCACTTTGTCCCTCTGGACAGCCTGCATGTTCACCCCTTGGAATTGAGGCCAGCAGGCAAGGAAGGGTCTGGGAAGTCCCCTCCCACCCTGTGTGTAGGGTGGGGTGGGGTTATTTAGTTTAGAGCCAGGAGATCTCAGCTCTGGTTTACATGAAGCCTTAGGCAAAGCTGTTTGTTCCACTTTTTGATGTCCCCATCAATAAAATGAGACATTAATTAATCAGGGCCAACTCCTCTCTGCACCTTGGTGGACATGCTGCTGCTGACTGGTGGATTGTGAGAACACTCTATGGTCTTAGGTTTGTTGAGCCTCAGTTTTCTTACCTGTTTAAGGGGGGTAATCCTTATAAGGGTGGGTCAGGGCTACAGTGGAAAGGGGAGTATTAGTTACTCAGTCGTGTCCAACTCTGTTACCCCATGGAGTGTAGCCCACCAGGCTCCTCTGTCTATGGGATTTTACAGGCAAGAATACTGGAATGGGTTGCCTTGTCCTTCTCCAGGGGAATCTTCCCAACCCAGGGATCAAACCTGGGTCTCCTGCATTGCAGGCAGATTCTTTACTGTCTGAGCCGCTAGAGAAGCCTGGAAAGGGGAAGGGGTGGTCAAGCCCCGAAACCTTGGTCACCAATGCAGATTAAGTGTCTACTAGGTGCCACACCCGGCTACGCTACGAGGACTCTGCCAGTTCTGCCCTCTTTGTTTTCCCTGACCAGGAGGAGGAGCCAGTGGAACCAGTTTACTGAGATTCAGAGACTCTGGTCAGGGCAGGTTAGTTGGGGTGTGGGGCCACCTGCTGGTCACCTGGTGAGTATTCGGTAGACACCTACTGTGTACCAGAGCCTGAGGCATCTGTGGTCCTGCCTAGGTGGAGGGGGAGACCACAGCATCACAACAAATGGCTGCCATTTACTGAGTGGCTATTGCATGCCAGGCCCACTTGGGTGCTTTGCCTGGATCATCTCACTTAGTCCTTACATTCCCATCTCACAGATGGAGAAACTGAGCCCTCAGTCTCAGCCGGAGGGGGGTCAGAGAAAGGGATCCTACTTTTGGCTGGGGACAATCATAGAGGGCTTCAAGAGGCAGTGGCATGTGAATTTGAAGGACAAATCTGTATAGAAGAGATTTGGGAAAAGGGCATTCCAGCTGGCAGGTATAGGGTGAGGCAAGGTGAGGAGGCAGGAATGGGATGTGCCGTGTGAAGACCAGAGAAAAGTCTGTTTAAAGAGTGAGAGGCAGGAGGTCTCTCATTTTCTCACTCCATCTCCTGCAGGAAGTCAGGGTGGGGGCCTTAGGGGTGAGAAGTGGGCGCCTGGTGGCGACTTCTCTGTCTTAGTGCTCCCAGGCCAATCTTGTGTGTGTAGGTTACATTCCCTCCTCCTCATATCCAAATCCCCTCTCCTAGAGGGATACCCTGTTCTCAGTCAAACAATCTGTCCACCTCCTGTTGCTGGTATGGCCTTTTCAGATGGTTTCAGAGTTGAATCTTTTCAGACTGGCCTCCCTGGACCCTCAGGATGTGGCCTGTGCTTCCAACAGAGCTATTTTCTCTGTTGTATTTTCTTCTGAGGTTTAATTTGAACACGGGTTTATGTGCTTTAAAAAGCTTATGGGGGACTTCCCTGGTGGACCGGTGATTAAGACTCTGTTGTCCCAGTGCAGGGGACATGGGTTCAGTCCCTGGTCAGGGAACTAAGATCCCACATGCCATATGGTATGGCCAAAAATTTTTTAAAAATCATAGGCCATTGAACAAGACACTTAACATTTATCTTAAATCCTGCCATATGACCCCATTTTACAGATGGGAACTGAGGCTCAGTGTGACTTAGTAGCTTCCTGAGGTCCAGGACTAGGCTCTGATATGGAAAAATGCCCTTGCGATTGTCCTTTCTTCCACTGTCCTCAGAGTGTCCTGACTCCATGGGGACAGGCAGAGAGCAGTCACCTGCACTGTCCGATGAGCTGCAAGTGGGTGCTAAAAAGGGGAACAGAGATGATGTGGTGATCCTAGCTGTCTTAGGCAGGATTTCTTTCCTCTTTCTGGTGGAGAGTTGAGAGAAAGTTGGGAGAAAGAGGAAGTGATGGAAATGAGGAGGCATTGGGGAGAAATTATGGATCCTACTTCATCCCCAAATACCTGCCCCTGCTGCAGGGGCTGTGTGTATAAAGCAGACTACACCCCCAGACCCACACCCAGCCTTCAGCTGTGCTCACATCAAGCCAAAGAGTCAGCAAACCAGTCAGCCATCAGACCTGGCAGAGATCTTCTGTGCAGAGCCAGGAGGGCCCTTTCAGCCACACCCTGGAGTCATTCCCAGTGTGGAGAACCTCCCTAGTGCAGCCTCACTTCCAATTGATGGAACCTCGACTCATGGGCTCACATCAAGCCAAAGAGTCAGCAAACCAGTCAGCCATCAGACCTGGCAGAGATCTTCTGTGCAGAGCCAGGAGGGCCCTTTCAGCCACACCCTGGAGTCATTCCCAGTGTGGAGAACCTCCCTAGTGCAGCCTCACTTCCAATTGATGGAACCTCGACTCATGGGCCACGTGTCTCCCCACCAAGAAAAGGCTCAGTGAGTGAGGGGCCAGGTTACCCAGCTCAGGGCCTGGTCTGCTCCAGTCACATGCTGAAGCCCATGTTTCAAGCATTTAGAGTGTGCCAGGATGTCATATGTGATCTGTACTTTGCTGTCCTTCCTAGGCAGGGGTGATGCCCATCTTACAGAGGACATCACTGAGGCTTGAGTAGCATGGGGATAAAGTGCCCAAGGTCCTACATGTGGTGAGTAGCAGGGTGGGGGTCTGAACGCAGGATCTGGGGGCTGTATGTTGTTTAGTCACTAAGTCATGTCCGACTCTTTTGCAATCCCATTGACTGTAGCCCAC